TTACATGAACATTTCGTCACACACTCTAATATTTACATAAAGACTTAGTCACGAAATGCCGTACTAGTTTTGTGTCTCACATTGGGAGGAAGAGGGGTGCAGTGGAATCTCTTAGTTATGATCTCCGAGCTAGTTTCTCGTTTATAAAATTTTCGTAACATGCAGTAGAATCCCCTAAGAGCTGACTCGGTCCTCCTTCAATTTAATCCTTGGATGTCACCCAGCATTTCAAATTTTTATAAAATGTTATTTGTGTGTTTGCTTGTCCATACAGATTTACTCGGATTTAATACAGGTCTAGGGCCCACATTTTTTTGTGTTTGGAAAAAGGCGGGTAGACTGACCACCCGCCGGTTCGGGGATTACAGCGTTATACAACTAATTCAAAACACTGTCGGTCGGAGGTCTGAAATCTGAGTCCGTAATGAATTGTGGATTGTAAGCTGTTACTTGTTTTGTGTTTTTTTTTAGTAGTTTGCAACACGTCATATATCAAATATTCCTACTTTGAGCGATGTCCTGCGCTAACGAGTTGTATTTTAATTTTTTTAACGAGAAAACATTTAAGCCCCAAAAAAGTCCACTCGGTCTCAGATTTCAGATCTCCCACCGACGTTTTCTTGAAATAGGTGTATTCATGCACAGCTTGTTATTATAGTTTTGAAATATTGCGGGGGAGACAGGTGCTCCAGTCCCTTCCCGGCGCTTTGGTCTGTATAGTATTTATAGTAAGGCTTATGGTGCACCATGTAGCTTACACTGAGTGATGTATGATTTCAGGGTATTGCTACGGTAAATACCAGTGCTGTTCAGCTGTCTGCATTGCCAGCGTCGTCAAACCTTCCTAAAGTTGGAGACTCTGTGAGTATATGTATTTCATTTTAAGCTACAAGTATCAACAGAAGTCTTTCAGTTACATTAAATCTAGGAATCACTGTTGTACTCTTGATTTTCGAGGTACAAGGAATATTTTCCACAAAAATATTACATCCATTCTAAGATGAGAAACTACCTTCCTAAGCTCGATTATGTTTATGCATCTAAGGTTTGCGATAAAAAACATGCAATTTTGCCGACAGGTCTTTACCCAACAAAGTATACAACTTTGGGTAACTTTCTTACGTGACTCACTGCAAAGACCAAAAAGAATGGACCTCTTTACTCCTTGGGCATAATGATTTGCCTATATTTTCAAACGTTTCCGGCATTCTCTTTTAAAATCATTGTTGCTTTGTGTCTTATATTATAATATGGACATTAAACAAAGAAAGGATACTATATAGAATGACATACCGACATGGTCTGAAATTGGAAAACATTACTCCCAAAAAGCTAGAAGGGTACGTCTATTTGCACCAAAATAATGTATGTCGTCGTTACTAATCGGACTACTTATTCTTTTGCCAGGTCCTCGCCATGTGGGAGGTCAGTATGTGGCAGTACTTCACCGCGACAATAGTAAACTTCAACGCCCGTACCCTGAAGTTTGAAATCATCTGGGATGACCAGGATCCGTCTGGTCGTATTATCGATTATTATAACCTCGCTTTAGACAGGGTTCCGGATGATGATGAAGTGGCTGTGGGGTCCATTGTACTGTTTCCTCAGGGTGAGTACAGGGGAGAAGAAGGCGTGAGGCTTGGAGGACAGAGATGGCATCAGGTAGGTTATTTTATCAAGTAAAATTGAAAATTGAAAATATAATGCAGATGTATACCTGTTGAGCTTGCATTTAATTTTTAGGTTTAGCTTTCATGAATTCTCCTTTTGCTTTTCTTCCTTATAGGCGTTCTTTTATTTCTGTTCAATGAATAATTAGTTTGCTCTTTTCTTCCTTTCTTTCTTTCTTGCTCGCTAGCTTGCTTCCTAATTCAATCCATCCATCCTTGCCTGCATGCCTCCTAATTCCATCCAGTCCATCGTTGCCTGCTTCCTAGTTCCATTCATACATCCTT